ACTCCCAGATCAGAAGTGATGCGTTTCTTCCTCCTCCTGGAGTTTTCGGCGTAGCCGATCCTTCTCAGTTGGAGATGTCCCGCCAGGAACTTTGCCAGCGAGCTGGAGACAAGCCTCAAGCAGGGCACTCCCCGCGTGGAGGTGCGGTCAGCCGGTAGATCGGCGATTTTCTCCCCCGAAGCCTCCACTCGAGTTGCATGTAGGCTGATGGCAGTTCAGTTTCCGTCTTTCGACCCAGCTTTCGACCTGGCTTTCCCATTTGGGCCAACTGGTCGTCAAGATCGCAAAGGCTTAGTCTTTTGCTTCCATGGTCCTTCGAGCTGAGTTTCTGGGCAACATCTGGGTGGGGCCGGGGGGTGATGCTCTGGCTGGGCCTCTGCATGCATTTGCAATGTCTTGGTAGGGTTCGGGTGTGGTTGATCGGGTCGTGGGGTTCTTTGGGGGTGACAGTCAGGTATGTTGTTTCCGGGTTTTTGGTTCAGGGCTGCAATGTTGCCGGGAAGAAGCATCGATCTGCGAGTGGGACCGTACCGGCACGCCTTCCTCGTTCGCCGCACGCCTGATCTCCTTCAGCGCCGAATAGGCCCGGACGACCCCTGCAAGCGAATTCCAGTCGGTGATGGCAATCGCCTCAAGTCCGAGCTCGGCAGCCCGCGTCACCAGTTCCTCCGGGTGGGACGCCCCGCGCAGGAAAGTGAAGTTGGAGGTAACGGTCAGCTCCGCATGACGGGGAATGTCCCAGTGCAGGCTGTCCGGCAGCACATGGGAGGTCATCGGGCGGCCTCCACGTTCTTTCCTGGGTCATCCACGACTTGATCGGGGGCCACTCATTTTCAGAGAAGACCTCTTCGGGCAAAGGATCCGCGGATCGGTCGTCTCTTCTGGAATGTGACTGTTTCGCGGACCCGCGGATTGGACCCCCGATCAAGCCGGAGTGGCGGTGTTTGTGCGGAGAAACATCAGCGGACATCAGCCGAACTCCCCCTGTACGTACCAGCCCGGGTTCTGCGGCGTGTGGAACAGCCACAGACGCTGGCCCTGGCCGGTGGCAACGCGCCAGTAGTCGCGCAGGCCCCTTGTCCAGTCGTCGTCACCCTCCCACCAGGCGGGGGTGATGCGTTCCGGGCCTTCTGCCTGAAGTGTCGTCAGCGCCCGGCCGCGCCAGCGGAAGCGTCCGGGCGGAGTGGCGCCGGAACCGGTGATCGGCTCGGGTGGAAACAGGCGCAACGGACGCGGGCGCCGGTAGGGCCAGGTGCGGACCGGCATGCTGTAGGCGGCCGGTACCAGCTTGAAGCTGCGTTCGGGAATATGGCTGTCGACTGGAGAAAAACGCAGGATGTTTTCCAGCCCGATCCGGTTTCCGAGCTGGGTGATGAGGTCCGCGAGACTGTCCTTTTCCAGCGTCTGCGACGGGGTCAGCTGGCGTGGGCCGAGCTCTTCCACCTGGGTGGCTTCCAGGCGGATCATGTCGATGCCGTAACCGGCATCGATCGCGCTCACCCCGCGCTCGAAAAGAGCAAGGATCCGGTCGCCGTCACGCATCGGCCGGGCCAGGCGCAATTCGACCGACTGGTTCTCCTGATCCACCCGGCGGAAGGTCAGTTTCAGGCTGCGCGCGCCCTTCTGGGCCGTGTCCAATCGCTCGCACAGATGACCGATCAGCCGTTCTGCCCCGGCCATCACGTCGTCGAGGAGGCCGACCGGCTCGGGCAAGGTCATGCGTACGGCGAAGCTGAGACCTTCCTTCAGGGGGGAAATCTGTTCCGCAATGGCGCCGAGCGCCTGATCGAGACGGCGCAGCACTTCCGGATCGTAGCGCCTTGCAACGGTTGCCCGCGGCAGGTTGTAGAGATCGGAGATGGTGGCGATGCCCAGCCGTTCCAGACTGGTGCAGGTCTGGTCGGCAAGCCGCAGTGCAGTCAGCGGCAGGGGGCCGATGCGGGTAAGGTTCTCGCCAGGCTGGGCAATGCCCTCGGCAAAACGGGCAAGCGCCCAGGCGGTCCCCGGCGTAGAGGCAAGACCCAGCCGGGCGGTGAGCCCGGCCCGGGCAAGGCGGGCGCGGATATCGTCCAGGAGCGGTTCCTCGCCACCCATGAGATGCGCAGAGCCGGTGATGTCGAGAAAGAGCCCGTTGGGCCCGTCGAGCCCGACCCAGGGGCAATAGCGGGTCGCCCACCGGGCAAGCAGGTGCAGGAACCGTTGGTCTGCCTTGGGATCGGCGGGCCGGGTCAGAAGACCGGGGCAGAAGCTCCTGGCATGGACCAGCGTCATGCCCCGGTTCAGACCGGCACTTTCCGCGCGCGGGCACAGGTCGTAGACGCGTTCCGAATTACGATCGAAAAGGGTCAGGGCAAAGGGCGCGTCAACAGGATTGGCGCGGAGCGAACGCTCAGCTGCCAGCCTCGGAAACCACAATGACACGACGCGCCGCTGCATCCCAACGGACCACCCATTCCGATAATGTTCCTATTTTGTTCTTTATAAGGGACCACCGCCAGCGAGTCGAGTCGTGGTCATTTTCACGAGGGTCATGCTGAGGAAGGCCATGCTGGGAAGGGACGGCAGGAATTGGGAAGCCTGTGCAGTGCCATCTGGTCTCCGCTGCGTTGCTGCCGCCACCTTCCGGGATCAGCAACAGCGCCGTGGTGCCACCGGTTTCGGCGGCAAGCTGCAGCCGCCTACCTTCGGTCAGGCCGATGGGGCCGGCGATTTCGGCGACGACGAGGCCGACAGCGCCGGAGCGGAGCGCTGTTTCGGCACTGGCCAGAACATTCAGCTGACTGTCGGCCCGGGTGACAAGAAGCCGGCCCGGATCGCAATAGGGCGCAAGGCCTTCCGGATTGACCACCGGGCGCCAGCGTTCCGACACCCAGACCACCGGACCAGTCGCCTGCCCGGCCGTTATCGCGGCAAAGACCAGGCAGCTTTCACCGCACACCTCATGGGCACGGGCTCTTTTCAACGGAAAGACGGAGGAGAAGGACGTGGACATGGATTCAGGGGAGCTGCTCTGTCTCAAACATGATCGGAGCTCGAATATAGCGCCCCGCTGCAAAGGTGCAATGAAGGCCGGGTCAAAGACGGACATCGCGGCCCGAACGCCGCCACGATGAAGTCACGACTCGGAAAAACGCGCTAACTCGGGTAAAATCACGGAGTTCGTCGTGTGCCGCCACAATTCCATATCGGTGACGTCGAAGCCAGACATGAGCCGACTAATCTTTCTCCGGGTTGCGGTGTGAAAAAGGGGGCATACAACCGCCCGGAACGCGCGAAGTTGAGAGTGCCGCAGGGGTACTTTACTCCGGAATGCCGACGAAAACTGTTCTCGCGGCCAGCGATCTGGTGAGTATCTGCAAAATAACATTATTCCTGTTTGCGGACGCGACTTAGGCGTGGTTAAATGTTCATATGAGCGTCATACAACGTTCATATGAAAACAATACGAAACGCAGGCGTTATCGTTTCAGGTGCCGGCCAAGCCATTTCGGCACCAGGAAAACCAACTGCTGACCGGGGCACATAGCCCTTCGAGATGGGAGCAAATGAACATGGCTTATCGTAAGACTGTCGCCAGCTTCGTCGCTGCGGCCGCCCTTCTGGGCACTTCCACCGCTTCTTATGCCGCAACCGACATTGCCTGGTGGCACGCAATGGGCGGACGTCTGGGCGAAGTCGTCGTCGACATCGCAAACGGCTACAACGCTGCCCAGGACGCTTGCAAGATCACACCGGTCTTCAAAGGTACCTACGAAGAGACTCTGACGGCAGGCATCGCGGCATTCCGCGCCGGTGAACAGCCGAACATCCTGCAGGTTTTTGACGCCGGTGCAGCAACCATCATCGGTGCAAAGGGCGCCGTTATCCCGGCTCAGGACATCCTGGAAAACGCCGGTGTTGGTTTTGATATCGAAGACTACATCGACGGTGTTCGCTACTTCTATGCCGACAGCGACGGCAAGATGATCGGCATGCCGTTCAACTCTTCCACCCCGATCCTCTACTACAATGTCGACGCCCTGAAAAAGGCCGGTGTTGAAGCTCCGAAGACCTGGGAAGAGTTTCAGGAAATCGCTCCGAAGCTGAAGGAAGCCGGTTACGTACCGCTTGCGCAGTCTCACCTGCCATGGATCTTCACCGAAAACTTCAAGTCCCGTCATAACCTGCAATTCGCGACCAACAACAACGGTTACGATGGTTCCAAGGACACCACGCTGGTATTCGGTGAGCCGATCAAGAACCACTTCTCCGCCGTCAAGGGCTGGCTGGATGACGGCCTGTTCGGTTATTACGGCACCGGCTGGGGCGACAATCAGACACCGTTCAACGAAGGCAAGGTCGCAATGTGGCTCGGCTCTTCCGGGTCCTTCGGTGGCATCTCCAAGACTGTCGACTTCCCGTTCTCCGCAACCTATCTGCCTTACTGGGATGCAGTTGACGGCGCGGGTACCGGAACCTTCATCGGTGGTGCGGCGCTGTTCTCCATGGCCGGCAAGTCGGACGACGAAAACAAATGCGTCGCATCGTTCTTCGAGTACCTGACATCTCCGGAAGTCCAGTACATGTGGCACAAGGAAACCGGCTATGTGCCGATCACCAACGCCGCTTACGACATGGCCAAGAAGGACGGTTACTACGAAAGCACCCCGGCTGCCGAAATCGGCATCAAGCAGCTGACCTTGCCGGGCGGCGAATGGACCAAGGGCTACCGCATGGGCTTCTACGTTCAGATCCGCGACGTCATGAACCGCGAATATGGTAAGCTCATGTCTGGCGAAACCACGGTTGAAGATGCTTTTGCAACCATCGAAGCGGACGGCAACAAGCTTCTGGAGCGGTTTTCAAAGACAACCGGCAACTAGGCCAGTCTGAAATACCCCTTATTGGGGGCGCGCCCTGCGCCCCCTTTTCCTTGTGAGGACGCGGGCCAGCTGTTTTACTGATGGTCCGCTTCCTCCTTTTCCGGTGACGCAATGAAAAAAGTTCAGTTTCAGTCCCGAATGGTGCCGTACATGCTGTTGCTGCCGCAGCTCGCCATCGTGACGATCTTCTTCCTCTGGCCGGCTGCGGAAGCCATACAGTCATCCTTCTATCTGGAGGACCCGTTCGGCTTCGGTTCGACCTTTGTCGGACTGGACAATTTCACCGACATGCTGACCTCGACCGACTATGGCCGGGTGGCGCGTTTCACGGCTGTCTTCACTTTTTTCGTGACCTTCCTGTCACTCGGCTTTGCCTTGCTGCTGGCGGTCAAGGCGGACAAGGTCCTGCGCGGCGCGTCGACATACACGACGCTGCTGATGTGGGTCTATGCGGTTGCGCCTCCGGTTGCCGGCCTGATCGGGGTTTTGCTGTTTGACCAGCATGTGGGCCCGATGGTCGATCTCTTCGCCATGTTCGGCTGGAAAATGCAGATCGGTGTGAATTATTTCGACACCAGTTTCGCGATGATCGTGACCGCGGTCTGGAAGCAGATTCCGGTCAACTTCATCTTTTTCCTGTCAGGCCTGCAGGGCATTTCCAAGTCGGTTCAGGAAGCAGCGAGCATCGACTGCCGTTCCGGTTTCCGCCGGTTCTGGACAGTGACCTTTCCTCTGCTTGCGCCGACCGGCTTCTTCCTGCTGATCATCAACATCACATACGCCTTCTTCGATACGTTCGGCATCGTCGATGTCATCGTGAAGAACGAGCCGGGCAACAACCCGGTCACACTGGTCTACAAGGTCTATCTGGATGGTTTCCGGGGCAATGACCTTGGCGGGTCTTCCGCACAGTCCGTCATCCTGATGGCGCTGGTGTTCATCCTCACAATCATTCAGTTCCGCCTCATCGAGCGGCGCGTGCACTACACGTAGGGGGCGGATATGTACAAACTCAAGATTACGGACCATCTGATCCTTCTGACAGGTGTGTTCTTCATGGTTGCACCGGTGGTGCTGACCTTCATGACAAGCACGCACGACGCGATCGCGATCTACAAGGGCGGCGTTCAGTTTCTCCCGGGCGACAAGTTTCTTGAAAACTACGAAACCGTGCTGTTCCAGGCCGGAGGCTTCACCCAGGAAGTCAACGGTTTCGTGATGCTGAAAATCTCGATGATCCTCGGCTTCGGCTTTGCCATCGGCAAGATTGTCATTTCGATGCTCGCCGCCTATGCGATCGTCTATTTCCGTTTTCCGTTTGCCTCGGTCTGCTTCTGGATCATCTTCGCCACACTTCTGCTGCCGCTTGAGGTTCGCATTCTGCCGTCCTACGAGATCGTTCAGTCGCTTGGCATGGTGAACACCTATTCCGGCCTGATCGTGCCATTGATCGCGTCAGCGACCGGTACGTTCTTCTTCCGGCAGTTTTTCATGTCCGTTCCCGATGAACTCCTGGAAGCGGCCCGTATCGATGGCGCAGGACCGTGGAAGTTCTTCAAGGACATTCTGGTGCCGCTGTCCAAGACAATGATCGCGGCCATCTTCATCATCATGTTCGTCTTTGGTTGGAACCAGTATCTCTGGCCCACCCTGATCACCACGGACGAAAGCCTGTTCACGCTGGTTCGCGGCATCAAGCAGATCCTTCAGGTCTGGGTGGGTGCGCAGATCCCGGCTTTCAACGAGGCAATGGCGCTGGCGATTCTGGCCATGTTGCCACCTGTACTCATCGTGGTGATCTTCCAAAGCTGGTTCGTCAAAGGGCTCGTCGAGAGCGATAAGTGAGGTTATAAATGGCAACGATTACTCTCGACACCGTCCGGAAGGTGTATGCCGGCGATGTGGAGGCGGTCAAAGGCGTCTCCATCGATATTGCCGACAGTGAATTCATTGTGCTGGTCGGGCCGTCCGGCTGCGGCAAGTCCACTCTGCTGCGCATGATCGCGGGACTGGAAGACATCACCACCGGTGACATCAAGATCGGTGACCGGCTCGTGAACAAGGTCGACCCGGCCGACCGCGATATCGCGATGGTGTTCCAGAACTACGCGCTCTATCCCCACATGAGTGTCTACAACAACCTGGCCTACGGCTTGAAGAACCGGGGCATGGCGACAGAGGAGATCGACCGCCGTGTGAAGGAAGCGGCCCGCATCCTGGAGATCGGTGATTATCTCGACCGAAAGCCGAGGGCGCTGTCCGGTGGTCAGCGGCAGCGCGTCGCCATGGGCCGCGCGATCGTGCGCGAACCGGCCGCATTTCTGTTCGACGAACCGCTTTCCAACCTGGATGCCAAGCTTCGCGTCCAGATGCGTGTCGAAATCAAGCGTCTGCAGCAGTCGCTCGGCACCACGAGTGTCTATGTCACCCACGACCAGCTGGAAGCCATGACGCTTGCGGATCGGCTCGTGGTTCTCAACGGTGGCAATATCGAGCAGATCGGTGCGCCGATTGAAGTCTACGACAAGCCGGCATCCACCTTTGTCGCGAGCTTCATCGGTTCACCGGCGATGAACCTTCTGAATGTCAAGGCAGATGGGGACGGACTGTCTCTTGAAAATGGAGCCGGATTGTCAGGTTCCAACGCGAAGGGCAAAGACAGCTATATTGTCGGCATTCGTCCTGAGCATCTGCAAGTGGTCGATGGTCCTTCGTCCGGTGACGGCGTCAACCTGGAAGTCAGTGTCGACGTGCTCGAACCGGTTGGCGCGGAAAGCTTCGTCTATGCAAGCTTCCCGGACGGCGGGCCGGAAATTGTCGTCAGGGTGTCAAGCCACGCTCGCCATGAGCCGGGTGAAAAAATGCATCTGCACGCTGATGCAAAGGACGTTCATTTCTTCGATTCAAGCACGGGTCGTCGGATCGACTGACAACCATGCTGAAAAGGGAAGGGCAGCAACTGTGGGGGCGGCCCTTCCCAAAGAGCCACTCCGGGCGACCGGAGTGGCTTTTTCTTTGCCATCCTCCTGACAGTGCTTGTCAGGAGGATGGCAGGAACAGGCTAGGACCGGCACTCCACAACTGGCACACAGGGGCAACGTTGAAGCAGGCACAGGGAATGACTGATGGAACCTTTCAAAAACAAGATCTCGCCGAACCTCGTGCAGTGCCTCGGAATGCATATCGAACGCCATCTTGAGACTTTTGACCGCGCAGCATATGAAGCTGCAATTCTCTCCGCGCTTGATCAGCTTGAGCTCAAGCAGAGGGCCCGGCTGATCGCCGATGAAACCGGCAGGATTCTGCCGGAAACCCTCGATGCGAAGTTCCACATTTTGCGCTCCATTCTCCATCCGCTTGAAAATGAGGATGTGGATCGGGCGAGCGATGACAAGGGCATCCGCGGCTGGGGCATGATGCCGCTCGGGATGGTGGTTACCGATCATGGTCTTGGGGACTTCGAGAAGTCGTTTGCGCTTTTGAAGGAAATGACCAAGCGCGCGACCGCTGAATTCGAGGTGCGCCCGTTCCTCGACCAGGACCAGGACAAGGCCTTGTCAATCATGACGCCCTGGGGGAAGGACGACAGCGTCCATGTCCGCCGTCTTGTGTCCGAAGGCACGCGGCCGCGTCTGCCCTGGGGCATGCGGCTGAAGAAGCTGGTCAAGGATCCGTCTCCGACCCTGCCGCTTCTGGAGGCGCTGAAGGATGATCCCGAGGAATATGTCCGCCGCTCGGTCGCCAATCACCTCAATGACATCGCCAAGGATCATCCTGATCTTGTCGCGGATATCGCAAGGCGCTGGCTGAAGGATGCGGACAGGAACCGCGAGAAGCTTGTGCGTCACGCCTGTCGATCCCTGGTCAAGCAGGGGCATCCGGGAACGCTGACAGCCTTCGGGCTCAAGCCGCCTGAGATCACAGTGGGTGGACCGTACGTCAAAACGCCCCGGGTGATCTATGGAGATGCGGTTTCATTTGATGTCGAACTAAGCTCGACAGGCAAGAAGGCTCAGGATCTCGTGATCGACTATCTTGTCCATTTCAAGAAAGCGAACGGGACGCTGGCGCCAAAGGTCTTCAAGTGGACGAAAGTGAAACTTGAACCCGGCGAGATGCTGTCACTCTCCCGCGACCACGCCATCAGGCCGATCACGACACGGGTCTACTACGGCGGCACCCAGGCCATCGGCCTCAGGATTAACGGCAAGGATTTCGGGTTTTCGGAGTTTGAGCTGGTGATGGAGTAGACGAGGAGTATGGCTGCATCTCTTTCCGTCCCGGACGCAGCGCAACGAAATTCCGGGACCTGCTTGCCTGGTTGGCAATTTTGATTGAATAGCCCCCGGCACGCACTGCGCTTGGCCGGGATAACGATGAAGAGGCACATTCGGAGATTTCATTGGGCCGAGGGCTGTCTCTTTTGTCATCCCCGCGCAGGCAGGGATGACAAGGAAAAGGAAAGATCCTGGTATTCTGAAAGCTCAAGATTTCAACTTGCAACCGTCACCCCGGACGAACGCGAGTGAGATCCGGAACCGGGGAGCGACGGTATGAAACGAAGAGATGGCCGGCTGCTCGGAAAGTCTGCTGAACTGATTCAGCAACCAGCTTCTCAGAACTGCTAGCGGTGGTAGCACATCGGGCAATACCGCCCGATGGCCGAAACTCATGATATGAGCGACCTAGAATCGATCTTCTTCGCCTGCAATCTTGAGCATAAACTTGGCAAAAAAGACCAGTCCCAAATAAATGGAAAAGAAGATTTGAAAACCGTAGGCGAACGTTAGAAATTTCTGTTCTGGAAATTGGTTCAAAAGCAAAAAATAAACAAGCCAGCCAGCCGCGCAAACAACAATTTCCAGCATATAAGAGCGATCGCCTCGTTTTCTTTTGTTATTGAAGTAAACAAAAAAATAGTAAAGGGGTATCAATATTAAACCAAAACCCAATTTAGCAGTGTATCTGGATTCAATTTCTTGATTGATGAAAATAAAGTATGCGGCGACTAGAGCAACATAAAGCACTGCTGCCGCTTTGTGGTTCGTTTTTTTCACTTCAACTGATCCGCTTCAGCCGCAACATGCCCAAAATTCCGAGCGCGGGACCAATCGCCATCAGGGCGAACATGCCGGGCCAGCCGATAAGCTCCGCCCCGAGTGGTGTGAGCTGGACCGTGAAAAACGTTAGCGCGAAGCCAAGCGCAGTTTGGAAACTCATCAGGCTGCCGGCCTGTTCGGGCGGAGCATAGTCGGCGACGAGCGCGGAGAACTGGGCTGAGTCCGGCAGGATCGCCGCGCCCCAGATCAAAACGCACAGGATCGTCAGCCAGACGGGGCCGCCGAATGTGATGGCTGATGCGATGGCGGCGGATCCGCTGACAATCATGGCGAGGATTGCGATGTTTGCCTTGCCGACCCGGTCGGCAACGATGCCGGCGATGACGCTGGCAACGCCCCCGGCAGCAATCGTCAGAAAGGCGATCAGGCGGGACAGGGAAACAGCATCGCTCTCGGGCATGTGTGCGGAGAACGACAGCGTCAGCGCAACGCCGATCCAGGCCCACATGGCATAGAGCTCCCACATATGACCGAGATATCCTGCATAGGCGTAGCGGATTTTCCGGTCGGTCCAGGCGGTAAAGATCGCGTGGATTTTCATGCGCGGTGCCTTGGCATGAAAGGGACCGAGTGCTGCAAAGAGGCAGAGGGCCCCACCGGCAGCAGACGCAATGGAGGCAACGATCAGGCTCCAGCGCCAGTCTGCTCCTCCCAGAAGCGCCAGGAGGTGCGGCGCGGCGGAGCCAAGGGTGAGGGCGCCGACAAGCGTGCCGACGAGAAAACCCCGGTCCTTCTGGCCCCAGCCGACGGCGATTTTCATGCCGACCGGATAGACACCGGCGAGCAGGGCACCTGTCGCGAACCGTGCAAAGATCGACACCAAGCCGCCGGGTTCAACAACCAGAAGACTCGCATTGAAAAGCGCTGCCGTGATTGCGCAAAAGGCAAACAGTCGCCGCGGGTCGATCCGGTCGGCAAGACCCAGGAGCGCCGACGCGAGTGCACCGACGACAAACCCGATCTGGACAGCACTTGAAAGCGCTGCCTGCCGTGTTTCGGAGATTGCAAATTCCCGCGTGAGATCCGGCAGGATCGCAGCTGACATGAACCACAGGCTCATGCCGGCGACCTCGGCAATCATCAGGAATGACAGCGAGCGCCATTTTCCGGAGAAGTCAATCTGCAAGGCCGAGGTCTTTCCGGGCTTTTTTCGTGAGCTTGCCCGCGATAATCTTGTGAGCGGCCACAATATAGGCCTTCAGATCCTGATCCGGGAGTGCACCTGCCCGTTCCATTTGGACCTACTTCGCGCGCGCAAGATAGGGTGCCGGGATCATTCCTTCCTGCTGTATCAGGAGCGCATAGGAGATATCGGAACACTTGAAGCCGATCCGCTGATGGTCGCCGTCGCCCCAGCGGGAGCAAATCGCGAAAATCTTGCCGCCGACTTTCCAGACAGAAGCGTTACCCCACTGGATCACATGGGAGGTGGCAGGCAATTCACTGCAAAAGACGTCAAATTCGTCGCGGGTCATTTGAAACTCGTGTCTGAACAGCACGGGAAGACGGGATGCGCAACAGTGGCGTGTCAAATCCGATCGCGCAAGCTTCGGAGCGATCAAAAAAATATGTCACACATTCTGCTCTGGCCCCTCTAACACTATGAAGTGTCAGATGACAGGAACATGAGATGACAACAGGCAATGTATCCCTGGAGATGGTAACAGCCGCTCAGGAAGGTGACCGGCAAGCCCTTGAAAAGGTGCTTGTCGGCATACAGGACCGGATCTACAACCTCGCCCGGCGTGTGCTGGTGAACCCTGAGGATGCAAGCGAAGCCACACAGGAAATTCTGGTCCAGATCCTGACCAAGCTGTCGACATTTAGAGGTGAAAGCGCCTTTTCGACCTGGGCTTACCAGGTCGCCGTTCGCCATATTCTTTCGGCCAACAAGCTGCGTGACCGCGATATGGGACTCACGTTCGGGATGTTTGCCGCCGACCTTGAAACGGGTCTCGTCGCTGATCCACCCGAAGCGCCTGACCAGGCGCTCCTGCTGAACGAGTTGAGGGTGTCCTGCACCATGGCGATGCTGCTTTGTCTTACGATGGACCTTCGCCTCGCCTATGTGTTGGGCGATGTATTCGAGTTGGACCACGGGGAAGCGTCGGAAATACTGGAACTCGCGCCATCTGCCTATCGCAAACGGTTGTCCCGTGCCCGGTCGGAAGTTATTGCTTTCACGTCCCGTCACTGCGGACTTGTGAGTGCCGAGGCGAAGTGCAGCTGCCCCAGACGTCTTCCAGCTGCCATGAAGGCCGGACGGGTGGTACGAGGCAATCATCCCAATTCGATCGGGTCTTCCCTCAGTTACATTGAGACAAAGCAACAGGTCGAAGCCGTGATTGAGGATCTCAGGTCTTTCAAGCTTCAACGCGCCGTGCCGTATCACAAGTGCCCACAAGACATCCGCACACAATTGACCCGAATTCTGTCGCCGAGCCTCTAGGCTTCTAAGCGAACAGATCCGCCAGACAACTAGATCGTTTAACCAGCTTGGCATCAAGCGGGACTGGCACCGCATTGCCTGAACATGAGGAATGGATACATGCAACTACGAACGCGCGTTCTGACGGCCGTTTGCACGGCCGTTTTCTCAACCTTTTCGACGCTGACCTATGCAGAAGGATCTGAAAAAATGAACCAGGACCAGCAGGATGTTCTGACGCTTGTTCAGAAGATGACAAGCGCCTTCGAAGCCGGAGATCTTGAGACAGTCATGCGGACTTACGAGCCCAATCAGACCATCATGTTTGAGCCTGGAAATCCGGTGTCGGACGGTGAAACGGCAAAGACAGCCTTTGAACGATTCGCAGCCATCTCACCCAGGTTTTCCTACTCCGGACATGAGGTGATCGTGGAGGGAGACATCGCCATCCACATTGCGCCGTGGCAAATGTCGGGCACTGATCCCGATGGCAACGCGATCAAGGGCGAGGGCCTGTCCATCGCGGTTTTGCGCAGACAGCCGGATGGGTCCTGGAAAATGGTCATCGATACCCCGCACGGCAGTCATCTGCTGAAATAACGCCAAACGGGATGGAACCTCAGGCGGCGCGCCGACGCGCGCCGCCTGAAGAACAGAGCAGTGCCTGGCTTGTTCCCGGGCATCAAGCTGCCTAGCGCCGTTTCGTGTCGTCGGGCCGCTTGTGCAGGTTCATGGGGTTTTCGAATATCGGCTTCGGCCACCGTGGATCTCTACAAAATGCAATTGCGGTCGATAGCCAGCGGAATCGGAAGAAGAAGCGCAGCCATTCTTTCTGTTTTTGCTTTCTGAGCTCGATCGCCTGCATTTCAAAGCAGACATGCTCCGGGATCTCATCCGGCCAGAACTCGGCATGGTGCGGATAAAGTTTCCGGCGCGGATCGTTCCATGCGAGACCGGCGTCGCAGTCCGGTTCACCAACATTCAAAAGAGAATAGGGAATTGGCATTTGCAATATCCTCTCATATTTGATTTTCATGAATGAGTTGACACGAAACTTCTCACGAGTTGAGTTTATCTGCATGTTTTTCAATTGAAATTAAGGTTTCAAAAATGAAACAAAGTCTGGATTGGGAGGACCTGCGCCTGTTTCTCGCGGTGGCGAAAGCCGGTGGGCTTGCAGGCGCAGCAGAAAAAACCGGTCTCAGTTCAGCGACACTGGGCAGGCGGGTTTCGTCGTTGGAGCACAGCATGAATGTAAGGCTTGTGGAACGCGAGGCGCGCGGCTACCAGCTTACCCCGGCAGGGCGGGAACTGGTGCTTCAGCTTGAGGACATGGACGAGGTGGCAAGGTCCATTTCCAAATGGCGGCAAAGTGGCAGGACCAAACGCCGCGTTCGCATTTCTGCGGGCGACTGGACCGCACGCTTGCTTCTGGACAATATCTCCGAATTCTGGTCTCCCGACGACCCCTGGGTGCCGGAGTTTCTGGCTGACCCCCGCAATCGGGATGTCGCCCGCCGACAGATCGATATCGGCATCAGGAGCCGGAGACCGAAACAGGAATGGTTGGCAGGCCGGAAGATCGGTACCGTCAGATATGCGGTCTATCAGTCTCAATCAATTGCCAAAGACGTAAATCCGGGCTGGATAGGCGTCGTCGAGGACGAGGCGCACTTTCCGACGGGAAGCTGGATCAGGGAAAACCATGGCGACCAGGTGGTCGTTACCGTGAACAGGGCGGCCCATGCTTTGTCGCTTGTCCGCCAGGGAACCGCACGAATGCTGCTGCCGATGTTTGTCGGCGAGGCTTTTGCAGATTTGCAACGGATTTCCGACCCGATCGACAGTCTGCAGACGGAGCGCTGGCTGGTCATGCACCAGGACGAAAGGCATGAGCCAGCTGTGCGTCAGGCCTTGGCGGCACTGGCAAAACTGTTGAAAACTGACCCGATATTATGTTCGGAATTCTAGTTTTCCATCAAAACAACCTCGTAATTGGCGGAAAATTGCGCGCTCCTTGAATCAAAATTAACTAGGCTCCATATTTAATCGTGAATGGAACCTCTTGGTTCCAGCCTGGATGCCTCTCTAAGGGTCCGGGTGCAAGGTCGCTTCGACAAGGACTTTGAGGATGTCACGCATGTCAGCGTTTTCCAGCCCGTTTATGCTCGGGTTCGACGATATCGAACGTGTGCTCGATCGCGTTTCCAAGGCCGCCAATGACGGCTATCCGCCCTATAACATCGAAAGACTTCCGAAAGTGGAAGGCCAGGGCGATGTAATCCGGATCACCCTTGCGGTCGCCGGATTTACCAGGGAACAGCTCGACGTTTCGGTGGAAGAGAGCCAACTGGTGATACGAGGCAGGCAGGTGGACGACAAGTCTCGCGAATATCTGCACCGCGGCATCGCTGCCCGGCAGTTCCAACGGGCCTTTGTTCTGGCTGAAGGAATTGATATTCTCGGCGCAGACCTGAAGGATGGGCTTCTGTCCATCGATCTGGCACGTCCGGAACCGGAGCGCGTGATAAGAAAAATAGAAATCTCCAGCGGCGAATAGACCCTCGTTGGCTACAAGAATGGAGAAAGACTGATGCACGATCCCAATGGCCCTGACTGGGCTGACCAGACTATTTTGTCCGAATTCATGTCGGCGGACGAACTGACCGAACTCGGTACCGGTGATATCGCCTATATCAAGCCGATCAAGGCAGTCGATCTGAAGGAAATGTTTCCCGACGTCCCGCCCTTGCATGACAATGTGACGCTGTATGCCCTGCAAAATGCAGACGGCACGCCGATCCTGCTGGCAGACAGCCGCGAAGCCGCTGTCGCCAATGCCTTTGAGGCAGAGCTGGAAATGGCGTCACTACATTGAGCAGCACCGATAGACAGAAACACCGGTCCTTGGGCCGGTGTTTTTTTGTTCGCCAAGAAGTTCCTTGACCTGAACAGGGTCACGACTGGCTGTTAGGTGAGAGTTGCCGATGCTTTGAGCAGGAAAGTCGCACGCCTCAGCAGGTTATTTGTAAAATTCATAGAAGACAGATTTAAATTTTCCATTTTGAGAAATAGAATATAAGAAAAATTCAGAAATTCCGTGATATTATTTGAATTAAGACGATCTATTGCCTGTTAGTTTTGACAATTAAACGAAGGTTTCGGTGGGCGCTATATGAAATCTGTCGCTTTGGTTGTATTTGTTCTGGTGTTGCTTTCGTCTCCATTGAGTGCAATGGAACAAATTGTTGTAATGGAGATTCCAAACGTCGCGGAACGGGACAGTTCAGGCTTGTATGACCGTGTGCTCACCAGGGTGCTGGAAAAGTCTGAACTTGAGGTCCTTGTCGAATATTTGCCCATGAACAGGGCGATAAAGGAATTCGAACGCGGCAATTATTCCTGTGTCTACCCGATCGGATTTCGTGGGGTGACAGACGTCGGCACCTCGAGCGTGTTGGTAAATTATTTCAGTTATCAGTTTTTCTCGCTGAATTATCCCCGAATGGCAATTGAAGAGATTGTGGCGGGAGACTACGCGGTCGCTGCTCTGGATTTCGAGGAAACCAGACGTTTGGCGCAGCAGATGGGTCTGGATGTCGACATCTATGTTTCGTCAAACCGCAATTTGGCAAATATGCTGCGTATGGAGC